TTTTTTTTTTTTTTTTTTTTTTTTTTTTTTTTTTTTTTTTTTTTTTTTTTTTTTTTTTGTAGGATAAAAAGATGCTCAATTAATTTTTATTCATTCATAGGTTGTCTAATATTAATATTCAATAAATTTAATAATTATGTATTTATGTATCAGTTTCAGATATTTATATTTAGATTTGAATGATGTAATTTAGGTGCATAAGATTTGAAATTATTTATTTACTTTTTAAATAAGAATAATGAACTGAAACTGATTTGATTCGTTGACCAATTCCGACTCCCATTCCCATTAGAGATTCGAATCTCATTCATAGTCCCACTGATTCAGTTTCCTTATATTCTACGGGTTGTTTTGCAGTTTCCATAAGAAGAAGAACAAGACCCTCTCTCAATCGCCTCCCACTCCACATCACCATGCCCACTAGCGTATCGGAGATCCAGAGCGAAGACCCTCTCTCGGCCGTCGACGATGAGTGCCCGGTTAAGCAGGTGGATATTACTGTCCCCAAAACCGATGACCCCAACTTGCCGGTTCTCACATTCAGAATGTGGGTTCTGGGGGTTGCGGCCTGCGTCATACTCTCCTTTGTCAACCAGTTCTTTTGGTACAGAGCCAACCCATTATCGGTTTCTTCGATTGCCGCGCAGATTGCTGTGGTGCCCCTTGGCCATTTGATGGCCAAGACGCTTCCCACTCGACCCTTTTTCCAAGGCACCCGGTTTGAGTTCACCTTGAATCCTGGACCCTTCAATATAAAGGAGCATGTTCTGATTACCATTTTTGCTAATTCTGGTGCTGGCTCTGTTTATGCCACTCATATCTTGACTGCTGTTAAGCTTCTCTACAAGAGACAGCTTACTTTCATTCCTGCTCTGCTTATTATGCTCACTACTCAGGTCTCTTTCTTTATCCTTGGTTTTCAGTCTCCACACAATGCATGCTCTCCTAACTCATATGATTTATGAATTCTGAATTTGTTAGTAGTTTCTCGAGATTCCCGATTTGAATCGAACAGACATTCCCGTAATTGGTTTGATTGTCTGTTTTGAAAAATGCGTCTTCTATCTTCTCTTAGGGTTTACACTTTTTGTTTTTCATTTTGAAGAGAGTTGCAATGGCTATTCCTTATCTGTATTCTGGTGTTCATAACTTGTATTCCTTGCTATTGTAGATTCTAGGATTTGGCTGGGCTGGACTCTTCAGGAAATATCTGGTTGAGCCTGGGGAGATGTGGTGGCCTTCCAATTTGGTTCAGGTGTCGTTATTTCGGTGATGTCTTATTTTCTAAACCCCTTTTCACTAATTCTGTTCCAGTTGAATGAAGCTATTCATGTATGTTTTCTGACTCGGGGAACTTTGAGATCTGCAGGGCTCTTCATGAGAAGGAAAAGAGGCCCAAACGCGGCACCACTCTTACACAGTTTTTCCTCTTGGCCATGATTTGCAGCTTTGCTTACTATGTTGTTCCTGGCTATCTTCTCCTGATGCTTACCTCTTTCTCTTGGCTCTGTTGGTTTGATTCAAAGTCTCTTTTCCTTCATCAACTGGGTTCTGGCATGAATGGCCTTGGACTCGGCGCATTCGGCATAGATTGGACCACAATTTCATCTTACCTTGGAAGTCCCCTAGCCAGTCCTTGGTTTGCCACTGCCAACATTGCTGTGGGCTTTGTTCTTGTTATGTATGTCATGACACCCCTTACTTACTGGCTCAATGTATATGGGGCAAAGAAATTTCCCATATATTCGAGCGCCCTTTTCATGTCCAATGGTCAAAGATACAATATTTCAAGCATAGTCGATTCTCATTTCCATCTTGATCGAGGAGTTTACCGCACAACTGGACCTGTAAATCTCAGTACCTTCTTTGCAATGACCTATGGTCTTGGATTTGCCACTCTTTCTGCTACAATTGTGCATGTCTTTCTCTTCAATGGAAGGTAAATTCTCGACAAAACTTCAAACTACAGTGTAGGGAAGTGTGTAACCTTGTGTAATTGATAAATGTTCTTTTATTATATGCAGGGAACTGTGGAACCAAAGTAGAAGTGCCTTTGGTGGGAAGAGAAAAATAGACATACACACAAAGCTTATGCGTGCCTACAAACAAGTGCCAACTTGGTGGTTCATCGTCATCCTTGTGCTCAACATTGGACTCTCCATTTTTTCGTGTCAATATTACAATGTCTCGCTTCAATTGCCTTGGTGGGGTGTACTGTTAGCTTGTGTGATTGCCTTCTTCTTCACTCTTCCCATCGGCATCATTGCTGCCACCACAAACCAGGTGAGAGGCATGGAACACCATTCCAAACGACAAATCTCTTTGGTTTCATGAGTTCCTTTCTGAAAACCTTACTCATATTGAATCTAATAATGTCTTTCTTGTTTGCAGGCACCTGGTCTGAACATTATTACAGAATACATCATTGGTTATGCATACCCCGAACGCCCGGTTGCCAACATGTGCTTCAAGGTGTATGGATATATCAGTATGACACAAGCTCTAACCTTTGTGTCCGACTTTAAACTTGGTCACTACATGAAGATTCCACCCAGGACAATGTTCATGGCCCAGGTGAAATTTCTATGACCTTGGGATGAAATTAAACATCAAATATCAAATATGTTGTTGGTGATAATGATTAAACGTTATGGTATGGCAGATTGTTGGAACAATCATAGCCGTGTTTGTATACATTGCAACTGCTTGGTGGCTAATGGGATCGATTCAAGACCTGTGTGATACCAACCTGCTGCCTGAAAACAGCCCCTGGACTTGCCCAATGGACAGAGTGTTCTTCGATGCTTCTGTGATTTGGGGGCTTGTTGGGCCTCGTAGAATCTTCGGGAACCTGGGAGAATATGGAGCTGTGAATTGGTTCTTTTTTGGAGGAGGCATGGCCCCTTTGCTTGTATGGAGTGCGCACAAGATGTTCCCGAAGCAGAGTTGGATTCGGCTGATCCACATGCCTGTCCTGTTGGGCGCAACATCGATGATGCCACCAGCCAGCGCTGTGAACTTCACCAGTTGGTTGATCTGTGGGTTCGTGTTTGGATTTGTGGTTTTCAGATACAAGAGGGAGTGGTGGAAGCGGTACAATTACATCCTGTCGGGGGGGCTGGATGCTGGAACCGCCTTCATGACAATACTCATCTTTCTTACATTGGGATCAAAAAGCATCGACTGGTGGGGGAACAATACTGATGGATGCCCCTTGGCGTCTTGCCCCTCAGCCAAAGGAGTTATGATTCATGGCTGCCCAATATTCTGATCTCTCTCATCTTTCTTCTTAGCTTACCAAAAGTGTGTATCTCTTCTTATTTTCTCGTTACATCATTGCGTCTACTCTCTCTCTGTTGTAAATTTCTTCTCTGTGATTTCCTTTGACGTTTCTTCTACTTTAGGGGTTAAGTAAAATGCACAGTTTTTTTGTTGTCCTAATTATTATTTCTTCTCATATGTGATGTCCATTTTCATTTGCCTTTCAAGTAGCACCACTTTTTGTGTCTTGTTTGTTGTCCTCAGGGGAAGGAAATGGTTTTGGCACATGTACCTAGAAACAAGATATGTATGAGTGGTTGTTGAGGATGGTTGGGAGTCCTCATGGGCTATAATTAAAAGATGAGAAAGACATCTTCAAGTGATGCTTTTCGTATATGTATGTATGTATGAGACATGAACAAGAATGTCCGAGAAAGAGCTGATAAACGAAGATTACTCGCCTGCACGGTGATGTTGCATGGAAGGTTGGTTTGTTGGTAGGGTTTTGTAAGTATTGCATGGATACAATGTGGCACTCACTCAAATATCCAGTGCTACCAAAACCTCCGCATCAATATTTGGGTTTACTTAAAATGCCTACACAAAATAAATATTGGTGTGATGGGTAGAGGAGGAGTTAGGTTGGGGTAAATAAATAAGAAAGCAAGTAGATGCAAATGAAGGGTTTTCAAATGGCCATTTATTGCTTATTTCATTTATTGGCCACCCACACCGTTCCCCGTTGCCCTCACACTCCTCTCTAGTTCTTTTCATTTTCATTTTCAACCGCCACAGCCACCGCCACCGCCACCCCATTATTACTCTTTCCTCCGCAATTTTTTCCCCCAACTTTCCTTTTTTCTTTTTTAACTAACTAATAACAGCTTTATTGTTTTCTTTTTCTTCTCGAGTTTTGAGGTCCAGAATTTATAATATCTGCTTTTTCCATAAAGTCTTATTTATTAAGAGTTAAAGCGATGGTAAACTTGTAATTTCCTCTCCAAAACAGTGGATTATTTTGACTTCCTTTTCTTCTTACAATAATTATTTTTTAATTCAACACATTAATCTAATTCACCGTGGAATTTTAAAATATATAAATAGATTAACATTCTAGTGCCTTATCATATATATATATATATCAAATATTATTCTGTTACAATACAAATAAGAGGGGAAGGAAAAAAAAAAAAGAAAAAAAGAATGAAACATAAATTAATATTCATACATTCACCGTACCAAAAATTATTTTTTTAAAAAAACAACAAAAAATCACTGCTAATTATATAGTATTTTATGCAGACACTTTTTACGTACCTTTTTCCTCCAGCTTCTTGTTCTTCTTCCTTCTTTATTACGCACCTTAGTACAATAGAGGTGCCCAAATTACAGATTTAGCCCTCCCAGGAAGGCAACTCCAGTGGACGGTAGCCACGACGACCCGTAAATGAACTGCGCCACCGTGAACTGACTTGCCTCCACCCTCGACGTTATGACCCGATATCCAGGCCAGGTCACCCTCTGGCCCACTGCCCCACCCGGCCCATAGTTCATATACTCACCGTAATACAAGGTGTCAAGTGCAAACGTGGCGTTCCACTCCAGCCAACCGCGTGGGTGCACGTGGCCCCCAATGTATGACTGCATGTACACAACTCTAGAGTACAGTTTCCAGGGACGACCCAGATACGTTGGGTTGGTGGTAGTTGAGGGCGACGCCAGATCGGGGGTGGCCAAAATCCGGGAAGCGTGGATGGAAATTCCAGTGTTCTGATTGGGATCCTTCCGGTTCTGGGCCGTGATTGTGTTCTTTTGAAGCTCCATCGCCTTTCGGGCGTAAATGCTGCAGTTTTGAAACACCACTGCCGCATTGCCGAAGATGAAATCCACCGTCCCGTAAATGTCGCACTCCCGAAAGAATTGGCGGTTGGAATGGACGTAGAGAGTGTCCTGATATCCGATGACGTTGCACCGGTACACGACGGCGTGGTCGGCGCTGACTCGGAGGGCCACCGCCTGGTGCCGAGCCGGTCCGGCCCAATTCACAAATGTCACGTCCCTCAAAATGATACCGGCGCCGCTGACGGCTGTGACCCCAAAAAATACAACAACATAGAGAAAAGAAACTCAGATGGATGGGTAAAATATTCTTCTATAAACATTTGAGAAGAATAGAATAATGAAATTCCCATGCAATTGAGAGATCATATTAGATTAGGGTTTAGGGTAATTGAACTAAATAAATAAAAATAATTAAGTAAATAGAGAAATGGTTGAAAATAATTTATTTTACCAAACGACGCCGTGTGAAACGTTGTCACGTTGTCAAAGATACTCTTACCGCCCGAAATCACAGTTTTACCCTTCCCATCCCCAACAAACATCAGATTCGTTTTCTTCCTCCCTACCTTCAGGTTTTTCTCTTCATACCTGTACGTAAAAAGGACAAAAAGGGTATTTCCGTAAATTCATCAGGCCAAGTCGTAATTCAAAAATATTAATTGAAGTGTACATCATCTATTTACCTTCCTGCCATCACGTAGATGATCGTCTTTCTGGTACTGAATTCCGGTGCCTTTTTTATCGCTTCGGCGATCGTCTTTACCGTTCCATTCCCGTCCTTCGAAACCACAATATCGGCCTGCAACGCCCCAACCGGCAGCGTCAGCAACCGCCTCTCTCTCCGGCTCATCCACCCGGGGAAGTTACCAGAATCATACTCCTTCTCGGCGGCGTTCATCAAGCGTCGCTTGTTCTGAATCGGCACTCCGGAAAAGTCGTTCCTTACGCTACCGGAAAACAACGCCAGGCAATTGCTCACAAGCTCCGACAAATTGTGGAGTTTGTCGGTCATTTGATCTTTAACATTGCCGCTGAGTTGGGAGAATCCGTCCGTACAGGTGTCTTGATTGGTGAGGGCGGCGCTGAGCCAGGTGATGACGTCATCGGAGGAGGCGAGGGGAGTTGGGCGGCTGTCGGAGGAAGGCGGCGCAAGGGAGTGAAAAGAGCGGGTTAGGGCATGGACGGAATCGTCGAGGAGTTCAAGACAGGCGTCGTAGGCGGAGCGAAGGGGAAGATCCATATGAAGAGAGGAAAGGTGGGAGGATGAGTAGAGGGCTTGATTGAGATGGTGGAGAGTCAAATTGAAGGAAATGTGAACGAGATCCTGTTCGTTGGCGCTCAGAGATCCAGGGAAATCCAGGAGCGAGTCCACACAGAGAGCCGGGAGGCGACTTCGGGCACAGGCCTTGGAAATTGCCCGGGTCGGTTTTCGGGGGAGGTTCGGGTGGGAGGGGGTTCGGAGTCGGAGGAGTGAAGCGGGGGAGGCGGCGGCGGGGAGGATGAGAATGAGAATGAGGGAGAGGAGGGAGAGAAGGAAAAGTGGTCCTCTCATTGGTTTGGCAGCAGGGTGGGTTTCATTGAGGCGGCGACACCCCATTTTGGGAGAGGAGAGAGAGTGATCGGAAATGGTAGAGGAGGAGGTGAGGAAAGAGTGAATTTGAAGGGATAAATATTTCACTCTTTTTTTTTTTTTTTTTTTTTTTTAATTTTATGAGATAAGATAAGATATCCTCGATAATTATATCTTTAGATATTTTATCCTATAATATATATTTTTAAAAAATATAAATTTTTCTATTTATTTTATTTATAAAAAGAAAATGAAGCCATATCTTATACCTATTGGTATAACTTTTTTTAAGTTAGAAAAAGTATTTTTAGCATGAAAGTCAAACTAATTAAACTTTTTTTTTTTTTAATATTTTTATGGTAGAATGTTAAAAGGCAATAAATAAAGAATATTATTTACATAGATGCGGTATTTAGTCAAACAAGTTTGATTACGGATTCAAACGTTGTGATAAGCTTGTCGAGTCAAGAATTTAATAAAGTTTTTAATATATGAAGTGACAATATTGTAGGATGACATCTATTACAAAATTAAAGGAAATGAGACTAGGTTTTGGTTGGAGACTAGAANTTTTTTTTTTTTTTTTTTTTTGGTTTTTCCCATTGGTTTCATACTAATAGAAATCATATATTTTTTTCCCTTTTAACACTCCCAACCATTCATCCCTCTGATCTTACTTTCTTTTGAAGGGTGAAATCGGTAGGTTTGAAATTAAAATAAAAACAAAAAGAAAAAATAGGGCATGAATTAGAATAATAATGCCTCACATGAATGCAGAATTATTGGGAATATGAAATAAATGAGTATCATTATTTACTCATTGCTTAATCAATAATCATTATTATCAATTTTTAAATTTGAAAAGGCTTAGTTATAAATGAATTTGGTCACCTTCATAACAAATTAGAATTTTAGTTCCCAAGATTAGATTACCAAAACGTGCAAGAAGAAGGTTGATTACATTTTATATTCCTATCATTTATTTAGTTTAATGAGAAATAATTATTTATTTGTCTTATAAAAAGAAGTAATTTTGAGGCACCTTCCACCCTCCTTTTATTCCCTACCTCTTTCAGTACTTGATATTCCATCTAAAAAAATATGGTTTTCCTTTGAGAAGAAGAAAGAGAGGATCTTGATTAGTGGTGAATGTGGACTCTATATTATAAAGATAACTATAAAGATTATTATGCCATGGAATGCCCATTTAAATTGTGTAAATTCACCTAAGTCTACATAAATCCATCCAACTTTTGCAAAAGTTGTTTACTTTATGTTCATAAAAATATGGCCAAAATAAAATTTTAAAAAAGGAAGAATATATTTAATTCGAATTTGTTTTAAATGACTTTGGTGTACCATGGTAAATAAATACAAAAAGGAAAGATGATATGCTTCTAAAAAAACATATTATTCCATTTATAAAAAGAAATCACTTAGGAATAAAAGAAATTCGAATTAAATATAATCCCAATTAAGAAAATGTCATTAATTTTATTATTAAATTTGGATCGAGTTCCTAAAAAACTTTATAAATTAGATGATGGTAAAAGTTGTACACGAAGAACTAAAAGAAATGTAAGAAGGATTATGTATATGATAGAATAAGGATATAGGAGATGGTTCCTTACAAAGACAGCAAATTTGAGGGTTTAAACAAAAACATATTGTAAGGGGCATGTTAGGATGGGAAGGAGAGCTACAAATTTGATTAGACATTAATAATGTGCATGTGGTTGGTTGTTTGTTTGTTGTTTGTTTTGGGGGACAAACCCCCAATTTCATTTCTTCTCTTTTTCATTCTTCATCTTCCAATCATATATTTCCCAAACCCTTTTCATTCTTTATCAATGCGTGCCCTATTTTAATGTTTATTAAGAGTAAGAAGGATTAAAATCAGACATTTTGAATACATGGAAGCTAAAGGAAGCCGAGTCACTGGGTCCGAAATCGCTCCGGTCCAAACTACGGAAGTCAATGGCGGTCCTGTCAACGAGTCTCCGTTAAACGGTGCGTTTTGCCGCAAAAATTCGAATTTTAAATAAAACAAAAAATGGATTTGCGGGGAATCGAACCCCGTGCCTACCATGCGAGCTATACCCCCGACGTTGACTACACGTTGCAGTTGTATTATATAATTTATATTTAGAAATACGGGCTAGAAATGGGCTGGGCCCATCATCTTACTCAGCGGGAGGCCCAGAGTTGGAGCGTATCCGGCCTGCGAACATTTCTACGTGACTATCATATATTTCTTTTTCCTGTCCATTTGAAAAAGGCACTTTCTAATGTTCTCTCTCTTTCTTTTTTTCCTTTTAATTCTACAATTCAAATCAGTCCAACTATGGTTGTTTTTAAATTAACATAAAATTTTATAACAAAATCTTGTACAAATACGCTAGAGAACTCATTACCCGACCGTATATCATGTGATAGAACACTTGTTCATTATCGAGTAGCATGTTGCATTTTGTGGTACCATACCTAAAAAGAAGCATATAAAAAAGAAGAAAAAGAATCCTATCCTACACTTTTGGAGCACAAACAAGGGCTTGTTAATATTAACCGGTGAAAAAAAATAAATATTATTATGTTTATATAAATTAATTGTTTATAAAGTTTAGATTTAGAGAGGCTGATGGATAAAATTAGATATGAAGAAAAGGTAAGAAATAAAATAATTGTCCCCCAGCATACCTTATTTTATAGCCGTCAAAAAATAAGATCCATGAGTGATATAATGTGATTAGTTTCATGTTTTTTTAAATCTGACTAATAATTCAAAGAAGGACAGAAAGAAATAAGGGTAAAATAAATATATTTTGTAATGAAACCTCTAATCCCATTTTGGAGTTTACGTAGGATCCATTTCAGTTAATTCTTTCTTGTATCCATTTGAATCACCAAAACGTCACAGGCCTCCAAGACTTGATAATAATATTAAATAATAACAAATAAATGAAGGGTTAATATACTACATACTTTCCCTTAATATTGCTGTTGCTCTTCCCTACAATTCAAAGCTTCCTTTCATTACACTAATAATTCTAACAAATCTTCCTAAAGTACAATCATTTTCTGTGTTTTAATATTTTGAAATAATCAAGTATTTTATTAGGAAGCAGTCCTAGTTCCTAGAAAAGCGAGGAAAGCGTGTGCAGGGTTGACACGTGGAAGGCATAATAATGAATGGGGATGACGAGGTAAACGAGGTGTTTGGGAGAGAGACGAGTTTGTTCCATTCTAGGACAGCTCCTTCTTGTCCCCGCACAGAACACAATTCCAATATCATTTTGGTCAGGAGGACCTTCAGCCTCTGCTTTGCATCCACGTGTGGTTGCGTTTTCAAATGGCAATTAATTACTCCGTTTTTCATCCCCATTCCATTGTGTTGCAATGCCACCTGTTTCTTTTCTTCTTTCCTGTTTTCTTATACCAGATTTATTCCTCTCAAAACCAGAGTTGATTTAGACAAGACACAATGATTAGAGTGGGTTCATTCCATTTTTAAGACTATTAAAGTTGAAAGAAATGTATAATTGACCTATTAAATAGGTCCAAGACCAGAAGAATGAAGGCACACCATCCATCCATCCATCCATCCATGCCCATCTAAATACAAATATGTTAAATTTTATGAACTTTTTTTTTAATAATTAAAAAGAAAAGAATAGGTTGGTTATTATTGAAAATGGAGGATTTAATGCAAAATGGTGATTGATGTATGAGAGTTTGAATGTAAATTTGCCTCTAAAATGTGCAGAGAGAGAGAGAGTGATATTGGATGGTTTAGATTTATAGGCAAATTATTCTCGTGAATCCAACGAAAGGGTGGCCTCTAAGACCTGTAATTTTCAAAATGTGAACATATATATATTCAAACCTTCTCCTCCAACTCTAAATTATCACTTAACCAAAAAAATAAGTAAAAATACAAATGAAGGGCTTGATTTATGGCGAATTGCATTTGGATGCGCACATTTTCTTAAATAGTGAGCAAAAAGTTGATTGATTCTTGCCTTGAAGTTCCAATCATATCATATCAATATCAAACCATTGTACTTAGGCTTACTTTCTATCATTATTATTATTTTATTTTTGTATAATCGTTTTTGCAAAGGGAGGGCTGAAAGCATAGTGGTGGGGAAATATGTTTGTATTTAGTTCACTATATGAAAAAAAATACAAATTTAGTTCACTATATAGAGTTGATGGAATATTAATATGATTAACACCCAGTTGTGTTATTATGCTATCTTTAAATACATGGTTTGCCAATTTGGGTACCACCAACCCTAATCAACTATCTCCTTGGTCACATTATAATAAAATAGTGTTATTTAATTATTAAAAAGATGATAAAAAAAGTTGCATGGAAAAAGGGAAAGAATTTGATAAAGAGTTGGCTAAGTGTAAAGAGGGTAAACACATCACAGACATGATTCCAGTAACAACCAAGAGCAGCAGCAGCAGCAGCAGCTTCAGGACAGAGGTTTTTGACAATGAACCCCACTAACCACTTTTTTTTTTTTTTTTTTAATTATTCCATGTCAACTTCTAAAATAAATAAATATATACTTGAATGAATTGGTGTAAGAAAAGACGAGCACTATGAATCCATCACATCCCACCTGTTTCTTCTTTTCATTAATTCAATCTTTTCAAAAAAAAAAAAAAAAAAACTAATTAATTGCCTTTTTGTTTTTTTTTTTATTTTACTCAACTTAAAATATTGGCATTTGTTTATTATCAGAACACAACCCATCCAAGACTTGGAAATTAAAAATACTCGTTTTTAATTTAAATATTAATTCTTCTTTTATTTAAGGGAAAGTCAACCTCTCAATGCCGACTAATTTTTCAGCGCCCAAAATTACTTTTTAAAAAAAGAAACCGAGAGAGAGAAAAGAACATATTCGAAGATTTAAAAGAAAAAAAAAAACATGAAATGTCAAGGACATGCGTACAGTAGTAGTAGATGTTGTAGTACTTTTGGCATTGAATTTAAAATTGAAACTTAATTATTTATTTATTTATTTATTTATTTTATTTGGTTTCCGAATATGGGAATTTCAAGGTTTTCCATTTCTTTCTTCTTCTTTTTTTTTGGTATTGCCCCAAAACCAAAAAGAATTTCACCTTTTCACACCACTCTTTCTTGTTGCCTGTTAAGCATTTTGAATTTAACCCTTTTTCACTTTTTCATTTTCTTTATTATTCTCATTCTAATCCTCATTAATATTTTATTTTATTTTATTTTCCACCATTTCTATCTTTTAGTGGGCATCGCCGTATTTCGGGTTTCAGTTTCTTCCATCGCTTTTTCTTTCTCAAAATCAAAATTCCATCACCCACCCACCCACTACTCAAACGGAAGTTGTATTTTGTTGATATAAGTAGCACCTCTTGATCCATTTATTAACCACAGTTGATGTAATCAACTTTGCACGTTAAATTATTCTCCTTTTGCTCCTCTTTCATTTTTGTTGGTGCATTTCCTTTTCTTTTGTTTTGGCCTTTTCCATGGCACAAAAAATAGTAAGATCTTATCTTAATTATTGATTCTTATGTCCCAAACCATATTATAAACCAAATAATTTTGCCATCTTTTTTATATTGTCCACGTTGTTTCTTTTAATATGGAGACACCAAAATCTTTTATGGGGTTGTTGAATACTTATGAGTTATAAGAAGAAAGGCATGATATTCCCAAATGCCCATCCCAAGGACCTTTCACTGCTAATTATCAATCTAGCTACCATCAAACTATACCAAACCTTCCATTTCTAGAAAGCTTCTGTCCCTAAATTATTCATTTTGTCTACCTTTCTTAAAGGATGCCAAAAATTAAACACACCCGGGCTATCTTACCGCGCGTGAATATATTACTATTGGACCCATATTCCTTTGGCTGTCCACAACTCACCTTCATCTGCTTCCAACAAAGTTAACACACGTATTATCCAATCTATACATTATAATTTAAACAATATATGTAAAAAAAAAATTTAATTGTTGGGGATTAATAAAATAAATTGAATAAATTAGCAAAACGTCGGTTCTTGTAGAGGTCTGACTTTTTTAGGGGGGGAAAAAACAAAATAATTCTGCGAACCTCGAATACCATTGAAAAATACAAATCATTTTTAGTTTTATGCAATTAAAAAAAAATATTAAAAAATTGAGGTATTTTACTTGTTTTGTCGTTATGTGTGTTGTGGGGAAACCTGATTACATCATATACTTATATGGGTGCTTTCAATTCAGTCATCAAATTAACTTCTCACTATAAATTCCTCAGTTTCTCACCTCCAAAACAAACCCATCAACACCCTTTTCTTTCTCTTCGTTTCGGCTGCTCTGTTTTTTGCTACTCTGCTTCTCTTCTCAACATTTGCTGCCATTTTCTTCAACTTTAAGGGATTTCGATTTCATTGGGCACTCAAGATGTTCGAGGATATTGGGGTTTTCTTTCCTCACTTTCAGAACTTCTCCCAGGTCCACCAGCTCGAGGAGTTTTGCAAAACCCACCAGCCATGTTCTTCTCCAACGGTACTACTACTTTCCTCCATCTCTCTGTTTTTTCTTATTGCTGTTTCTGGGTTATTCTGCTTCGCATTTTCTTTGCACTGTTTCAAGCTGATTTGCTCCGGAATTTCACATTTCGATCTTGGGTGTTCTTCATTTTGAACTTTGAAGCTTTAATTTCTCTCCTTTTTGCTTAAGGGAAGATATAAGCTTATAATGAACCTGAGTTTGTATGGAAACTGGGTTCCATGGCAATTTTTGTGTTGATTTGGATAACGGGAAAGAAGATGGAGGGGAATTTTGGTAGACGTGTGTTGGTAAGTGGTACATGGCGATATTAGTGGAATGGATGTGAAAACAAAGCCGATAAAGGAATTCTTTCTTTTATCACTTTTTCTTTTCGTCAACAAACACTTTGTAATCACAATATTGCTGTGCTGCTTTTCATGCTGGATGTCAAAAATTATTTGTAGAAATAGGAAGGAATATAATGGGCTTAAACTCTTCTTTTTCAGTTTTGGGGTTTCGTGTTCTACAGGCCTTCTTCCATTCCTTTTTTTCCCTTCTTTTCTTGTCTCATTCTGTTAGGTAGACTTCACTTGCTCTCCTACTGTTTGTGAAAATGCTCGTGACAGAACAAAATCTCCACCTTCGTTATTTTGCAACCACTTCCATTTGGAACAAGAAGGCTCCACAGAAAGTAAAGGAAAAAAAGGGAAATTCAGCCTGAAAAGTGCGCTCTGGATCCTCTCTGGCTGGCTAAAAGTGCGGAATCTGATTGTGGAAAAAGAAACTAAGGATGCCTTTGGACCTTTAACGACACCTCTTAAACCTACTCCAATTAGCTCCACCATTTTTCCTATTGTTGCCCTAAATGCTTAACTTATCACTTCTATTTCCTTTCCCTTTTTGCCTGAAACTTAACCGAACTGACTTTCAAATACCATGGTTTCTGATAGTTTTTTGGTTGCATCGCCATAGCTTAAATTTATGAGCATGTTTCAAATATAATGCAGATATCCACAATCTGTGAATATGACATGGGTGGGGAAGGAGATCTGTTTGAAGCCCCACAACCACAACCATTTGTTGAAGACACTTTCATAGGTCTTCATCCTGTGATGGCAGCCATTTCAATGATGTCTTGTGCTGAAGAAGTCATCTCTCCTGAAGGACTAAAAGTTGCAGACTTTCAATCGCTTCAAAATGACCAGCTGCTAAATGAGGTATATTATGAGTGTGAAAAGGATCTCTTGGAAAAAGCTGCATTAGAAAGGCCACTGCCTGAATCCCTGAACATTGATATTCCAGTACTGTACCCAGAAGAAAATCAAATTCCGGAAAACAAGCCACTCCCTGATGTCTCGATCCAGAAAAGTACCAGCTCGGGGGGGTTAAGCTCAATGGATTTGTTGAAAGAACCTACCATCAAGCCAAGTTTAATAGATTTCCCTGGCATGGATTTCAGTTCTGTTTATGGGATGAGGAGAGCATTTAGTGAAGGAGATATAAAGGTAAGACATGTTACAACAATGGTCAGTTGTTTCTAGGCTTTGGACTTGATAGATCTTTAATTTTTTGTTTTTTTTTTGGCGGCAGACACTCGGCAATGACAAGATAGGCATGATCCATTCTTCCTTCCAACGACCCTCGTTCAGCAATTGTATCAACGAGGAACGCCTAGAAAAGCTTTACCGATACAGGAACAAGAAGACAAAGAGGAATTTTGGGAGAAAGATCAAGGTAAAAAGAAAACAGAATGTTACGTTTCATTTCAAATCATCAGAAACTTATCATAGCCCTTTGAGGAACTCCCACGGTAGGGCTGTATGCATGTAATCCACGGCCCAAGCCCCCCGTTAGTAGATATTGTCTTCTTTGGGCCTCTCCTTTTAGGTTTTCTTTAAGGTTTTTAAAACGCGTATGCTAAGGAGAGGTTTCCACATCCTTATCAAGAATGTTTCGTTCTCCTTCCCAACCGACGTGGGATTTCACAATCCACCCTCCTTCTGCCCAGCGTTCTCGCTGACACTCGTTCCACTCCCTTCGTATCCACCTCCTTTTGGGGCCTAGCCTTCTCATTGGCACACACCGCCTCGTGTCCACCTCCCTTCGAGGCTTAACCTCCTTGTTGGCACATTGTCGGCGTCTGACTTTGATACCATTTGTAACGGCCCAAGCCCACCACTAGCAAATATTGTTCTCTTTGGGCTTTCCCTCCAGATTTTTAAAACGCATCTGCGAGGGAGAAGTTTCCACACCCTCCCCACCCTCCCCATAGTGGTGGGATCTTACGCCACATATTCTTGCATATACAGTTTCTAATCTTGGTGAATTGTTGTTCATAAATTTCATTGTATGGTCTGGTTTTCAGTATGCTTGTAGGAAGGCTCTTGCAGACAGTCAACCTAGGATCCGTGGAAGGTTTGCGAAGACGGACGAAACTGAAGTCAAGGGCAGTAGCTCACTCTCAATGCTGTTTCTATGAGAAAATAAGAATGAAAAGCAATATAGGCATGAGAAGCTTGTTCTGAAGATGAGGTGGGAGAGTTGAGCAGAAGCCATAGAGTTTATGTTTGTGGAAAGTTCAGATTGAATCTCACTCAATAAAATCCACAAACCAAGAAGGCTGTAGGGTATTTTGTCATATTATGATTTGTATTACTATCTTTTGTACACTAAAATGGTTGCCTACATTTGTATATATATATATATATTATCCGTTGAATAAAATAGGAAATAAAAGTTCTTTGTTTATTAAGTTTGTACGAGATGGGCGTGCTGTGCTGTTCGGCTGATAGAGCTAAGCCTACTTTGTCAAATATATCTTCAACCAAGAGTCTTCAAACAATTAACCTGACCTTAGGATAGATTTTTTGAAATCCCAGTAATTTGTGGAGAAACAATTAACCTGACCTTAGGATAGATTTTTTGAAATCCCAGTAATTTGTGGAGGAGAAGGAATGTAAACGCATTTTATAACCCTCAAGGAAAAGTCCAATCCACTTACAGAGATGGACTTAGACTGTTATAAATAGTATCAGAGCCAGACATCGAATGATGTGTCGAGAAAATTGAGCCCCGAAGGAGGTGGACATGAGACGGTATGTCAGCAAGGATGCTGGGCCCCGATAGGGGGTAGACTGAAGGGTCTCACATTGATTGGAGAAAGGAACAAGTTACAATGAGAATGTTGGATTCCAAAGGGGTAGATAGTGAGATCTAACATCGGTAGGAGAACAAAGCATTTTGATAAAGGTGTGAAAATCTTTTCTTAGCAGACACGTTTTTAGAATGAAGTTAAAAAGAGAAGTCCGAAAAAGAAAATCTATAGAGAACAATATTTTTAAAAGTAGATTTCAGCCATTACATGTTTAGGGAATTTTATGGGTTGAGTCCATTCAACTTACTGGACCCAAGACCCGAACCAACTCAATTGGGTTTTGCCTACCTCAACTTAATTTTCAATTCAACTCAATCCAACCCAACTTGAGTATTGTTTTTTTTCAAGCACTCCTAAAGAAAGTAATGAAATGCATTGATTGGGGTTTAGTGTAACGATTCAATCATTTAACAACTTCTTTTTGTAATCGATAGTTGAAAGGTAATTGACATGCATTATTGACTAACTCCTTCCTGGATGTCGGAGATGATTAGAAACTTATTTGGAGTTCTCGACATTATTGTATTTAAATGAATTCCTTTTGTTGTCCTAAGCAGATGACATAAAAACTGGAGATTGGTCCAAATGGTAACAGTCCAGGACCAGACAAAGCATAAAGAATTGTGATGTCAGGCTCCATATCTCCCCCCCTGCTTCCTTACTTCCCAGTTCTTGCTTCCTTTCTGAAGCTAGGAGACAATCACTACACTTCTTTCATCTTCTTCGAATGCTGTGTACCACTCCGTGTGACTCCATGTTTGTTCACAGCTATCAGTTTCAAACCAAAAGCAAATACTTCTGTTGTTCAAGCCCTCTTTCTTCATTAACTCATATCCTTGCTTTCAAACGAAATACGAATTTGTGGGAAGGAAACGAAAGGGATTCTCCTTTCATCTTCTTGTTCCCTTCGAAGGGTCTCTGGATTTTCAAGAAAAATACAAAACTACACAAAAACAAGAAGACACCGAAACCATTGAGTGAAGTGAAGGTTCATGTGATGTGTTCTTATTTTTCATTCTTACTTCACGTGATCCGACATCGACATTGGAACTAAGGTTGTTGTTTCACAGAAAGAAGCAGAAAGAAAGAAGCAGAAAGAAAGAAGCAGAAAGAAAGAAGCAGAAAGAAAGAAGCAGAAAGAAAGAAGCAGAAAGAAAGAAGCAGGGGCACGCAAATTTAACCTCCTTGCTTCAATTGTTTTTAGCAAATTATCATCTTCAAAACAGGGGCACACAAAGAAGCAATTTTTACTGATTTTTTTCCCCAATGGAGGGTCAACTCCATCAAAGGGTTTAATAAACTCAAAAGACGAGAATACACACTCTCTCCCTTACACTCCACATTCTGCGTTGAACCAAAAACGAAGTGTAAATAATGGTGGTTCAAAGACTGTAAGAGAAGTGAAGAAAAGGAAAAGGAAAAGGGCAATGGCTGAGGCAGAGGGCAACCCCTTCACCCCAAATTGCAAAATTTGAAACCAAACCAACGCCGATCCCTATTTCTCTCTCCTCTCATATGGATTGTGTTGTTTTTCTGGCTCCAAAACCATTATATTTGACAACCCAAAAAGAAACAGAGGATAATTTATTTTCGATTGGAATGAGTAATTATTATTAAATATTACCTCTCTTTCTCTCTCCCCTTCTGCCTTCTATGCTCTGACCCAGTTAGAGAGAGAGAGAGAGAGAGAGAGAGAGAGAGAGAGAGGGAGTTTCCTTCCCTTCCCTTCCCTTCGAACAGATCCCTATTCATTCAGCCTCTGGGAATTCGATTGCTTCGTTTCTTTTCTCTCTTCGCGAACAGCCCAATTTCCCTCCTTTGATTTTGGTGTCGGATTTTCGTTTCCCTTTCCCCCGTCCTTTTCGAGTGCTATTTCACTGTTCAATTGTTTTTCCATTGCTCTGTTCTCGCCCCAATTTGAGGGGGGAAGGGTTTTATGTGAATTTCGCGACTTGGGTTTTTACTCTTAAATGTAAACCTCCAATTTGCATTAAGGGGTTGCAGTTTTATGAACTGAAATTTTGTTTATCATTCGGACAAAATGATAATCAAACGCAATCTCAAATCCCAAATGCCGAATCTCAAACGGTGTAAACTCGCCGACTCGCTTGGTGAAGACGACGAGACTTCCGCCGCCAGGAAGAAGAGAAAGCTAAATGGTTATTACCCACTTCATCTTCTCGGCGAGGTTGCCGCTGGAATAATCCCTCTGAATCTTCACCACATTCTCGGCACCAACAACAAGGGGATTTCGCCGTTGTGGGCTACCCAGATATCTTGTTCCGCCATGGAAATGGAGTCCAAGTCGAACAGCCGAGAATCATTAGCAAGGGAAGCTACGAAACGGCCGGCCGAGGTCCCACGACCGCCCCTCGTGAGAACTTCGAGAGGACGGGTTCAGGTTCTTCCTTCTCGATTCAACGATTCTGTTATCGAGAATTGGAAGAAAGACAGCAAGACTTGCTTGCGCGATTACACTTTCGATGAGGAATTCAAGTGTAAGAAGGAGAAATTCAGTTTCAAAACTCCTAGAATTTGTAATGGGACCGCCAAGAAATTACAGAACGGTGAGAAATTGGGACTCAAGTTCGTGAAGTGCCCAGCATTTTGTGAAGAGGAGGAAGATGAACAAGCGGGTATGGAGTTCAAGAATTTCGATTTCAGGAAGTATTCGAGCTCTCGTAGTTCACTAACTTCCGTACACGAGACTGTTGTTGAAGATGAGAAGTTCCCAGTTGATGTAGTTGGTGAAGATGCAAGTCCAAAGGAGACTAAACCCAAGGATGGTTTGTACGGACCTGAAGACTTCTATTCAGGTGATATTGTATGGGCGAAGACAGGGAGGAAAGAGCCATTTTGGCCTGCCATTGTCATCGATCCTATAACTCAGGCACCTGAACTAGTTTTGAGAGCTTGTGTTGCAGATGCAGCTTGCATTATGTTCTTCGGATATTCAGGGAACGAAAATCAAAGGGTATGGCTATAACTATTTACAAGTTTTCTTTTAATTGAAACCACCGTTATAGTCTCTTTGTTTCTATTTATAGAAGAATGTGACTCTGTTTTGTGAAAATTTCAATGATCATGAGCAGGATTATGCATGGGTGAGGCGAGGGATGATCTTTCCATTTATGGATTTTGTAGACAGGTATAGGTCTTCAGTTACTGTTTACAACATTTCGTATGAACTGAACTCCATACTCAGTCAAATTTTTCATGCTCTAGGTTCCAAGGACAGCCAGAATTGGATAGATTCAAACCTAACGAGTTCCAGATTGCAATAGAGGAAGCATTTCTTGCAGAACGTGGTTTTACAGAGAAATTGATTGCAGATATTAATATGGCAGCTGGAAATACGATTGCTGAAGAATTCCTTTTCCGAGGGACTCAGGAAGCTACTGGTTCTAACCAGGATCCTGATTGCCACTCTCCTCCTAAGTGGACTAGCTGGATTAAGGTACTGCTATTTTATTTTCTTTCATTTACCGCGTTCTTTCCTTTTTTATTAACAAGAAACATCCGATGTATTATTAATAAAAAGAAGGAATCAGATAGGGGCTGGGGGTAAGAAACCCCCGCCCGGCAGAATACTCCATTAAATGTTTGTGTTAACTTCGGATCTTCTCTTAAGCTCTACAGTTTGGCTGATTGATTTCTGGCGTAATGCTTCTGTTTCATATATGTGCATCGTGAAGTAGGTTTAGAGAGTGTAGAGAGGAACCGATACAAAACTTGCATTTTTTATTTATAAATTTTCGAAAGGCGGATACTTCATTTATGTAATAATACTCTGTTTTCAAGCGTGAGAAAAGATGCAACCTTGAAGAAGAACGTAAATGTTATGAAAAATCTATTTAGCAGTTTGTTCTGTAGTCTTCCATGAAACTAGATCCATCATGAGAGACCGAACATATTAAGCAACGATGCAAGCACAGTTTTTTTGCTTTTTTTTTAATGGGGGGTGCGAGGAGACAGAGAAGGAAAGATAACCCAATTTCCAGAGGAGGTTGGTAGCCCAAAAGATGTCATCTTCGTGGAAAGCAAGAGAGTAAGGTATAGAAGTAGAAGAGCTAGCTGATCAAAATTCTTGAGTGATACTTGTTTGTCCCTTTCAAGCAAATTGGGTGATCTTTCTTTGGCTTTCTAGCTGTTTTAGGAATTTGGTGAGCTCTTTTGTCATGCATAAATTCTTCAGAGAATTTAGGAGGGACCAGCAGGCTGTGCCTTCCCTCAATATGTGAAGGTCTGGAGTAGCTTTTTGTGGAAATAATCTCTAGTAAAAGCCCGGATGCTTTGATCTAATTAGGTTTAATCCATCCTTTGGAAAATTTGGGAAGATTGTTGTAATAGCCCAAGCCCACCGCTAGCAGATATGGTCCTTTTTGGGCTTTCCCTTCCAGGCTTCCCCTCAAGGTTTTAAAACACGTCTGTTAGAGAGTGGTTTTCACACCCTTATAAAGAATGCTTCATTTCCCTCTCTAACCAATGTGGGATCTTACAATTGTAATCTTTCCCGGAGTAAACAAGGACTATAGTTTTGTTTGGATAACATTGTTTTGGCTTCCACTAATTGAAGTTGTCTTCATCGAAGTTTTTGTAATTATG